GAGTAACTATTTTTAAGATTATGATACACAGGGTATTAACTACTTTTATTCTCATTATTTTGCCTAATTTTTTATATAAGGAAACTTTTTTTCTGGGTCTTTGTATTTCTCTCTGGAAAATGAACCCTGGGAATGATTTGCTGAATATTTTAATAAATATACAGAAAGAAATGAAGGACACCGCGCTGAAGTAGAACCTTATGTAGGTCAAGTTTTCCTGAGGGCTACGTTTGGCCTCGGTGCTGCGGAACAGAGGATGCTGTGTGTGCTGACGGCGGTGTGGGCTCCTTGTGTGAGGACAAAGGTTTGCACAGTGGCTTTGCACACACTCTGCCCACATTGTTCCTTGCACTTAAGCCATAGCCACGTTACGCCGCTGGCCATCTCTGCCTGGGACATCTTAACCCACATACCGCAATGGGGCTGGCAAGATTTCCTCAGCTTTGGTACGGAGGCCACGTTAACACTGATGAAAAGCCGTGGACACACGTGCCCCCCCTTGTCCCCGAGTCCTTGACACACACATTTGTGAATGTTAGGGGCCGACTTCGGCTGGTTTTGGTTTTCAAACTACAAAATTTACCTTTACGATCTCCTATCATTCTTGTACCTCTTTAAGATCTTTTTGGAATCACTTAATGCTTTCCAGTGAAATGTCAGAAATAAATATGGCATGGAAAGAAAACTTCACCCCACTTTCCACATTTCCAAGCAGTCAATGAATTTTCTCCTTTCTACTCTTTGCTCTTAGCAGAAAGCACTCTTGCGAGGTGGTGTCACCTAAAAACTTAATATGAACAACAAGGCAGACTTTACTATGGCCGCTCCTAGCTAATTTACAGTCATACGTGGGACACAATCTGGTTGCAGGGTAAACAGTCCTTGAAAGGCTAAACCAACCAAGCCAATGTAACCAATGGGTCAGTGTACTTTCACATATGACTGTATGTTTTTCATTGCTAATGCAGAATTTCATGCTGATAATTAGTTGAATACAAGATTGAAGTCAAAATGATTTTCCAGGTAGTTATGCTTTGTCACAATTTTCCCACTAGGAGTGCTGTACTCCTAGTTCTGTATGTGCCCGCTTCTTCAGGGGTTCCTACCATGTACCTGTGTATGCTTTATGTAATTAAGCGTCATTCCCATCTGGCTCACAGAGGCCATGTGACTTGGCCAGGGCCATGGAGAGTGGGGGCTCCATACACTGTCCTGAAGAGACCCAGGCCACTCTCAGCTACTGCCTACCAATTATGGGAAATTTCTGCATAGGTGTTCAGACAAGGGTAGAATCACAGCTAGAGAAATGCGGGACCTGAATGGTGATCTGCATGAGAAGCCTCCCATAGCTAACACAGGTGCAGCGTGTCCAGCTGCTCTCCTAGTGCCCTCTACGCTCAGCCCCAGAGAGGTGGCTGTGACTCTGAGTGTCCCGCTGTGCCTCACCTGCCGTGTCCTTGCTTGGTTGGGGCTGTTTTCTGTGGACCCCTTCGGTGACACCTACTACTCTAGAACCCATCCGCTGTCCAGGCCTACCTGGCTTACAGCTGACCTACCTCCAGTGGCCAACCGGGGAGTCAGCGTTGTAGTCTGACTTCCAAGTGCACCACGTAGAACCCCTATCAAACGGATAGCTGCGATTTCCCAACTAAACATCAGCACAGAATGACCATATGCTCCTAGATTTTACAGAATTTAAACATGACGACTGCTTTCACTATTTTGGAGCGTTTCTTTAAATGACTATAAAAATGTAGACACAATCATCATTTTCCTGGATCTGAGTCTTAAAAGAGGTCTAGTGATAAAATCTGGCTCTTACACGATGATTAACTTGCGCACAACGTACACAGGCTCCAAGATCCACGTGCTTGTGCTTCCCCTCCTCTGGCCTCTAGCGATTCTCTACGTACAGATTTGTGCTGCAGTAACCCGCACGCTCACTTGGACACACAGAGACGCCCCTAACAGCAGGAAGTTGGTGTGGTCTTCTCCTGCCGTGATCCTTGTTCTTTTCTTCCTTCCTCCTGAGCTCACTGCAGGCCCTCCACACCGTTGCATCCACAGACTAATGTAGACAGGGAGGGCATAAGAGGAGAAGTCCTTTTGAGTTAACCTTTCAAGTTCCCTTGACGCATCCAAGGAGAGGTGTGCAGTACACGCCGAGAGCCTGAGAGAATAGCTCAGCACTGAGTGGCTGGCTCCGTGTCCTGCAACGAGTCAGCTACGTGACTCCCGAGACACAAACTTCATGTTCATGCAGTGGGTATCTTCCCTACTGATTTCTTTGACTCAAAGCAGTGCCAGTTTGCAGTGGCACATCTTTTCCAAGGAAGAGAATTCATACCTTGCTCTGACATGTGGCACCGTGTGAGGCCCACCATGTCTGTGGCAGGGGATTCCCCCGGGCATTGCCATGTCCTCCAGCCGCAGCTGGTTCACTTCATTTCCCCTGTGTAAACGTCTTCAGCACCATTTAGATTTATTGTAAGGGAGGAAGCCAGAAAGCCAAACCTCAGCCATGACATCCTGAATTGCACCAGCACAATTTAATAAAGACCATTACATTTAAAACATTTACAGGTATAGCTGCAAATCTACTTATTTTAAGCATAACTTTATATATACTATTTTGACAGACAAAAATATATGTTTTAGAACCATCATATGCATCTGTCTGCTCAGTAGCAAACTTACAATACATTATACTTTATAGCAAACATAATAAATTATACATTATATGAAATTCTCTGGAAGGCTAAAAAAGGAAAAAATTCATTATGTTGAAAATATAATGCTAATTCATTACTTCAAATAAAAAAGTGAGTAGCCATTATATTAAATTCACTTATTTCAGGCTTACATTCATTTCATATTCACATACAATTTACTACTTATGTGAGTACAGCAATGAAGTTGACTTTTGACACTATTTGAAGGCTTGTTTTTGGCATCTCAGTCCAGCTACAAGCTCGATGTTCCGTACGTGTAGGAAAAAAATTAAAATTACCCAAGAAAAATGTTATAATCATTGTAAAAGTATGAAAATACCATAGCTGTTGTATTCCATTTTAGCCACAGGTTTCACCCCCAAAGGTTAAGATAGTCCCTGTCTAAAACGTGTTGGTTATTTTATTTTCATTGAGGATGAATTTTGAAAATCAACTCCACTGTCCGAAGCTGGGTGAATTCAGTGCCATCCACCCATCCGTGAGGTCCAGCTGAGCTGGCAATGCTCCACAGCTTTGCTCTTTCCCCAGGAGCTGCTGGGAATTTCTGCAGTAATGGGCATTCTTTTTTTCATTTTTTCCAATCTCAGATTTTAAAATGTAACCTTACTTATATTTAATATATCTAGTTTGAGAATAGATGGGAAATAATGGGTTTACTTTATTTGCTTAAATTACTTCTCTCATTTTACTATATTGGACAGGATTGGGTGGGTTGTTTCTCAGTTCATGTCTGAAAATATCGGACCGCACCATTCACAGGTTCCAAAAATGTGCCCCTGGCAAATGTGCCATGGTATTGAGTTGATTCTGAGCAAACTGATGAATAAAGGAATTCTTTTTTCATTTAGGTAGATAAGATTTCAGTAAAGATTTTGAATGCAATGTCACATTCACTGTGAGATTTTAACTGCTGGAAGTATTATGACATCCAAAATTATTTAATTTCAGATTTTAAGAATTACCCTGGAAATTTAATTCTTGTTTTGTGAAAAAGGAGATGTATTATTTAGTGAACTGAGATAATTCCAATTAAAATGTATAAAATGAAATTCTAAGACTCAAACACAACTTTTGCACTTATTGCTGAAGACTGAAGTTAACAGCATTTTGGTTGCAAATGGCAAAAGAGAAACATTTTTGAAAAAAAGTGCTTTCGTTTCTATAATGCAGACTGGCTTCAGTCCTGGGATCCCAGTCCCCGGCACCGTCTCAGCTCAGCAGTTCACTTCGTGTTTTCAGCCTGGTTCCAGGCTGTTCTTCCTAACAGTGTGTGTCTGGTGGGAAGCACTGAACCCTCTGTAGGACACAAACTGTGCCTATGTATATTGCATGTGTGTGTATATTTTAGCTCAAGAAAAGCAGCAACATACTATTTAATGACTGACCTCATGAAAGCGATGTACATACTACATGTTAAAGCTGATGGCTTCTTTCCCTTTAAGACTTATTTTTGCTTTCTGTTTTCTGCCACATTTTGAAATTCACTGTATGCTTTGTGGTAGTGATTTTTCCAGTCCCGGAAACTGGCTCATGTGAAAAAGTGTCACAGGGTGGACCCCTCAACACTAAACTGTCTCATCAGTGAATATCCAAACACGAATAGGGTTTGTGTCTCTGAGTTTACTACAAGGAGGTGCTTTGGGAAGTGCTGGTAGTAAATGTTCAACGAAATTCATGTTAGTTTATCAGCTTCTTTTCCATCAATCATAACTGGTGCATGTAGCAATCTCTTTTCACATATGGCTCAATTTCACCCCCAATACTGACTTAGCTAGTGTGCCAAGACACGACTTTGTGTAGCATGTGGCGAAACTTTAGACACTTCAGCTAAAGATAAAAGTCTACTCTTCCGATCACTTTTTGCTTGATGTCCTTATTGATTTATTGCTGTCAAGTCATCTAATCATCTCCTGGCACTCCAGATACCTTTATCTATGTACTAGGGACATACTCAAAGGAGCCCGTTGTTCTCCTGAATCACAAAGTGGACTCTATCTTTCTAACAGTTTTTACATGAACAATGCCACTCTTCATTAATTTCTATGTGTTTGATTTGTCTGTGCCAAGAATAATTTATGCTACTACTAATAGAGTAACAGATTGCAAGGCTGGGAGGTAGCACAATGGTAGAATGCTTGCCTAGCATGTGCAAGGCCCTGGGTTTCATCCCATGTCCAAAAACAAAACAAAACAAAATGAAATGAAACAAAGCAGAGCAGAACAAAACAAAACAAAGCCAAACCAAAATAAAGTAAAATAAGGACAAAGCAAAACTAATGTTACAGTTCAGACTGTGAAAGAAGGGGCCAACCATCACAGTAAGAAAAATCAGTGGCTCATTTATACATCATTCACTGGAGTGATTCGGCCTCTGTATATGCAGTCAAACTGACTTGCCAGTGATGTAGCCACCAGTGTGCATAAAGCCTGGCCAATTTCCTCTTTCATAGGCTCTTTCCATAGTGCACTCTTCCTTCCATAACGCACTTCCTTTTCTCAGGATAGAGATGAATCCTCTGCTTTTTGATGGGAGATTTATTCACTTTTATACCTAACAAAACTATCAAGCATCAAAATTGAAGCTACTACAGATGAGAAATAAAGTTGTTGCTTCACAGCTGTTGCTCCTAGCTTGCCATGTATCTGTGTGGTTGAACACTATTCTTCCTGAACTCTTCCTTTAGGACTTATTTTTTACTTTTTTGACAGAATTTTTGTCCTCTTAAACTCTTTATATTTTAATATATATTTTATATGTCACAAACCGTCTTCCCAGGACTACCTTCCCACAGTGCTCTGTTTGGGAAAGCAGTAGCAGAAGGGATCACTGTAAGTTGTCCTCAGTTCCTGATCCTTCTGGGCTGGAATCGACACTGAGGAGTGCCTCTTTATTGGTGAATGTTGAGCTCAGAGTTAGGCTCTGCCGAGGTTTCACAGGTGCAAGTTCATCTAGTTTAATATTTTCATTTCTGACCAGAATTGTCTTGTCCATGTTTTCTTCACTGTGCCTTGCAACAACGGCATCAAACACATCCAGTTTTGGTGGCATGGTTCCACTTTCAAATAGGTATTTGGCCAGATAGGAGACACAGATGTTGACGAGGAAGGAGGTCACCATGGCGAGGGTCTTGAATGGGAACCTCTGGTTGTAGACACCATTGTCCATGTAGTACCCAGGGTAGAAGATCAGAGGTTGCAGGTACAGGTAGGGCTCCCCACCTGTTATTCTTAGGAAGATCCCAACCACATATCCTGCCACTGCCCCATATGTGTTGGTCCCCTTGATGAAGAGCACACACAAGAGCTGTGGGAAGATGATGATGTAGACCAGGTCGGAGCTGAGGTACCAGAGCCCGTACACAGTCTTGGTCAGCAGCGCCATGGCTGTGGCAGATGCTCCAAACACAAATACTGTGATTCGCATGACCCAGACAATTTCTTTGTCTGACGCCTAAGAAAGAAAGAAACTGGGAGTCAGGTTTGCTTCTAAGGTGTTGCATCCTTTAGGCAAAGAACACGACATATCTCTACGCTTGAAAACTGGTGTAAAGAAGTGCTTGGGTGAAATAGCTCAGTACACTGACAAAGGCAACCCAACTTACAACCCCAGACAATGAGCCTGTGGCCTCCTGTATCATTTGGATGGGCATTTGTGCACTGCATGCATACAGCCAGTCCTGCTAGCCCTTCACTGTGTGTACAGGGAAAGGTAGACGAATACCCTGGCACCATCAGGAATAACCAGGCAAGGAGGGTTTCACTTACACCTATTAAGCAGGAGCTCTTGTGTGGCACTGAGACAGTCAGGGCCATTCTTATTTCCTCTCTCTGCAGGAACGCCACATCTTTAAGGCTAGTCAGGCCTTCTGGGTGTTTCCTAAGTAAGAACCACCAGGATGCTTTGCTGTTGACCTAGGAAATCTGGAGGCAAGCTATGCCCTCGGAGGGAGGCTCTCGGCATCTCAGGGCTCCTCGTGGCCACAGTCCCAGACAACAACTGATGGTGCCACAAGGAGAGTCAGACTCATGGGATGTTTACGAGGCTGTGTCACAGAGCTAATGAGGAGCAGTCCAATGCTGCACACGGGAGGCCGGCCCTCAGCTCCTGCTGTATTTGGTATCATGCTAAGATGCTTTAGGCTGCATCACTCTTTGATTAGAGACAGACAGCTTAAATTACAGCAACATGACTGAGACTCTTGGAAAACAGTAATTTGATTTGTTCCCTTAGTATTAACATGAATTATAACATGCACTGACAATATCCATTATAGAATACATATTCACTGTTACTTAAACTTGTATGCTTAGTCAAAGCAGGGCCAGGCTTTAACATAGACCATCTTTCTCTCCCTGCCTCTCCCTCTCTCTCTCTATTCGTCTATGCATGGGACCAGAAGCATTTTAGACTTCAGGACTTTGGGTTTGGAAATATTCACACTACATACTGAGGTATCTTGGGGATGAGATCCAAGTCTAACAGTGAAAGGTATGCATGTTTTGTATAAACCTTATACACATAGCCTGAAAGTAATTTTATACAATATTTTAAATTTTGTGCATGAAGCAAAGTTTCATGGGGTGGAATCTCCCATGTCAGTACTCAAAAGTTGCAGTCCTTGGAACATTTAAAATCTCACATTTTCAGATGAGGAAGGCTCAACCTGTAACACCATCTACACGATTCATGCAGTGACTACAAGCAAGCACAGCAACGACAAACTGTGAATTAGGACACCATGCTCACGTTTTGTCTGAAGGAGAGCTGGTAGATGTTCCGTGCGAACATTGAACTGGCCGATAGGATGGACGAGTCGGCCGAGGACATGACGGCAGCGGACACCGCGCCCAGGCCAAAGAAGGAGATGTACACAGGACAGAGGTACTGCAGCACGATCGGGAGGATCATGTCTGCCTCACCCCTGTCCTTGGGGCTTACTGTCCCGAACGAGGTCTGGTTCCAGTCTGTTGAGCAGAAACAATGACTGTAACACACCCTTGGGGCCATGCACCCTTTACCACGGGGCTCATCTGTTCATAGGTAGTTTGAAAACAAATTCAGTCATGTGTGATGTCCCGTGATGATTGTGGGAAATGTCTCACATGTCTAGGCTTCTGAGGGCACAACCAACTTACAGCCTTTGTCTGGGTTGTGCTGACCAGACACACAGACTCTTTTTGCCACTGTGGCACTGCCTTATACAAAAATCTCAGAAAACAAATGCTCTTACATGGAATCAGAGTTTTATTTTTCCAGTACCTGGAGCTGAAAGGACATGTGTGGCCTCTTTCTTAGGGCCGTCTTACCTGGGTGCAACAGAGAACAACTCAGTGGCTTTCTCATCTACCTCCTCCTGTGTCTGTTTGGTTTGGAGCTCCCTGAGCTCTGTTTTTCTCTAATTAAATTCTGCATTGCTTAGAATCTCATTTACCAGAAATGGGAGCATGCCTGAGTAAGGGCAGTCCCTTTTTATTGAATGAAACTACATTCTCAGGGTTGAGATTTTAAAGAGGGTTTTTAAACTTGGCAGGGTGAGAGGACTTGAAATGTAAGTTTATCTTTGAATTTATCCCATTTCTATCGTTTAGTTATGGCATGTGTTGAATCCTGGAACCTGTCTGTGTATATCAGCATGATAGCTTTTCTTTCTTGCTTGCTTGTTTTGTAGACAAAGTCTCACTAAGTTGCCCAGGCTGGGCTTCAATTTACAGTCCTCCTGCTTCAGGCCCCAGGGTAGTGGGAATTGCAGGCAGAGACCGCCACGCCCAGCTTCACAGTTTCGTCTTCATTTGCTGAATTTCCTTCGTGTCGTGATGATAAGTGAAGTGGTTTATTTTGCTCCACCATATTTTCTTCCCCCATTTCCCTCTATAATTGGCATGTAAGCCAAGCTTAGATGACACCAACTCTAAAGCCTTAAGTGAGATGTTCTTACACCAGAAATCACAGTCAAGAACATGTACCCTGCCCAAGGGAGAAGTGGGCCTACAGTTGTTTTTGCCAGCCTATCATCCAATGCACATGAGGGTCCACGCACCTCCCCACTAAGGTCTAGATCCCTCCTCTGTTAGATAAATCCAGCCTTTCCCCAAAGGCGTCACACACAGCACTCCAGTGCAGTCAGCTGTCTGCACACTCTCAGTGCTTATTCACAGGTGGACAGTGGGAAGGGAAAGGGGTGCCATGACCCAAGACTGTTCTTTCTCGCATGAAATAACCCAGTAACCAGCTCTACCGGTTGAAAGTCAAAGTCACTGTGTGCAGATCACCCTGGACCATCTTTAGAAAACACAACAGGGTGAAAGGTGAACTTTCTCTATGGTGTTTTAATATCCTTTACCTAGAGAATGCCTTTGAACTTGGGTTAATGTGATGTCTTCTCATTGAATGCATTAGATGATTACAATCATCCTAAGTATGGCTCTGAGGTATAGATAATTCTCTCTGTGACAAAACCTGAGTCTATAGCACCATGTTCATTACATAGTGGTCTGCAGTTTATTCTCTGAAGTGCAAATCCCTGGGGTGATGACACTGGCTATCACAGGGGGTGCTTTGGGAGGGAACAAGGTCACAGCCTTGGAGCCCTCCACAGTGTGATTAGTGAGGTTAGTTCCCTTATCACGGAGCCCAGAGGAGCTTGCTTCCTCTGCCAGCAGGAGAGGAGAGGAGTGGAAGGGTCAGGTGTGGGGAGTCCAGTCCCATCAAGGGCGAGATTTTAGAACAGCTCCACATGAAGGTTACCAGGGAAATAATATCTCCTATTGCTCTTTTGAAGAATCATTTTGTTTCTTAATTCTCTCAACCTGTGTACATATTGATTTCTCCAAGAAAAAAAAAACATCTGATAACCATGGAAATTATAGTTAGACTCAAGTGCAGAGTGGCCCGTGGGAAGCTGTGAAGACAGCCAAAGTCCTCAGCACTTTGCCTCCTCTGGTGCTTCCGGAACACCGGACTCCAGCTCTGTCCTTGACAGTAACATCCGCTCACTGTGCAGTGGCCAGTAGCAGGGCTTTCTCAGAGCCCCGCCAGCCCTGGACACAGCTGCACCCTGGCCGAGGGCTGCTGGGAGAGGCGTCCTTACAGGAACCTCTGAGATACCACGCTGGGGAGGGGGCTATCATGCAGGGAGCACCCAAGAGTGTGGACCATGGCACCGCAGCACAGCGCAAGGGGCCACACACTGCGGGGACAGGGAAACGGGATGGGGAGCGGGGCGCTGGGTCTTCCTCTCTGGGGAGGCTGTGGGACTTACTTGTGGAGGCTCCAATGGCCCCGATGAGCACGGCTGGGAGAGCCATCACCAGGCACCCGAAGGCCGCCAGGAAGGACAGCACCTGTGCGTAGGTGGCCGAGGATGAGGACAGCACCCTCTGGAAGTAGGCCTGCCACGGGATTCCGCCCAGCGTCTACGTGAGAGCCCGGGGGGAGGACGGTAGTTAACGTTCACTGTGCTGGGTTACACTTTCTAACAGTTGCCTTTCTGGAGGTCCTGGGTGGGCTGCCAGGTTCAAGGAGACGCTCTGCAGCCCGAGCACCTCCACTGCCCTCACTGTGCTCCCTGTGATGCGAACCCCTCTCTCCTCATGTGCGCTGAGACTCTGGTCCCCTGTTGATGAGTCCCCCCGCAGGGCCATCAGCAATGCAGCTGCCTGAGGGACCGTGGTCCCTTCCCACCTTGTGTGAACACAGGGAGAAGTCCCTGTGGGAGGGACTGTCTATCCCCAGACCCTGACCAGCCAGTCCCTGGGTCATCAACGCCACAGCTTGGAGGACTGTGAGGATACACGCCTGGTGTTTACCCAGCACTGCCGTTTACGGTACTGGGTTGCAGCAGCCCGAACAAACCAAGACAACATTCCCGCCAGGCTTTTCACAGCACAGAATTTCCCCGATCATTCTCCTTTGCAATGGCACAGCACAATCCTTTCTTTTCTTTGTTTTACCTACTTTAAGCTGCTTTCAAGCTCCCCTCAAGTCTTCAATTTGTTCTCATCCAGAAGTTTCCATCATCATAAAATATTTTCAATATAATTAAGATTCTGAAAGAATGATGTGAAAGCTGAGTCAAACCAGCCTCGTCCACAGACCAGGGCTGGGCAGTGCAAGAGCCGGAGGGGTGCAGGAGGGGGAAGGCTCCCCCCAGGGCTCCTCTGACCTCAGCTGAGGGGGCAGCAGAATGCTCGGAGGATGCTGTGCAGCACCAGGGGGCATCGGAGCTCCTGCCTGTACTCACTCCGCCTGGCATCTAAGCGTCCTCCTTAAAAGTACGTGACACAGGACATGCGTGAAAGCCAATGTAAAGGCACACTGCAGGAGCGTGTGACGTTCATGTTGAGCAAATACAGTCAAAGCCGTCTGGAGACACTGAACCACAGCGGGGCTGTCCGAGAGCCCTATGAAGTCTGTACGGAAGTGGAACAAGCAAGGACGGTTTGGGGTGACCCAGGGGTGGTGAGGAGGACACCAGCACGGCAAGCAGGAAAATACAGAAGTGACTCTGCATCAGTCCTCCCACACCCAGATGATGCCCTAGTTGCAGATAGGGGTGAATAGGGTCCCAGGAGGGCAGCTAAAGGAAAAAGGAAGCTCCAGTCCCACAGACAGCTGTGAGGCGGTGGCCAACCAGCTGGGCTGAAGGTGAGGGTGTGCAGCTCATCGACAGGCTAGGTTCTGGCCCCTCCCCCAGTGCAGAGCCCGTGTTCCTCGCAGCGTAAATGCCTTGGCACATGAGCTTGCTGTGTCACAGTGCACGGAGGTTTCCTCACTGCCCGTCTCTCCCACTGGGGTCTGAGCCGCGGGATGCCCACCCTATTTGTTACCCTCTCACCTGTGCCACGCACGGTGCCCGACACATGACTTCCAAGCAACTTCCCTCCTTAAAGGCATCGTACACGCTTAGAAGCAAAATAACAGAGCTGAAGAAAGTGTTCTAGAATGCACGGTTGTACTCCTCAGGTCTCTATTCTTTCAAACACTTTCTTTTTCTTTTCACAACTCTTAAACCAATACATTATTAACTCTTCCAACGTCAGAGAGAGACAGGAGCTGGCGCACCCTGATGGCGCACCAACCACCTGCGTGGTTAGGTCATCACAGGCTTCTTCTTTGTGCTTTTAAATAAGGTGAACTTGACCTCTGCTTACAAACAGACTGGAGGTCTGTGTCCCCCTAGAACTCGAATGTTGGAAACCTAACCCAGTGGGCAGTTTCCAGAGGACTGCAGTCTGCTGGGCGGGACCAGGTCCTCAGGAACGGGACCAAGGTCCTTTTGAGAAGGGGCCATGGCGCTCCCTCCCTTCCTTCCCCTCAGGAGAAAAGAAAGGACAGAGGCACCCGGAAGATCATCACCAGAGCCTGCCCCATGGCCGGGTTCACTTCCTGTGGGAAAACAGCTCTGCTCCTGGCACTCACTGCAGCCCTAATGCAGTCTAGGAAATGAGCTAGGAGGAGGCGGTGTTGAAATCCAGTGAAGTGCCGTAAGCTCAGAGTCATGAAATCCTGTCAGTGCTCTGAAGAGGAAACAAAAGCAACCCCTTTCCCCTCGACTTTGATACAAGTAGTAAATGATTTCTTGTGTTGAAATCAAATACAGAGTGTTGTTTTTGTATATAACCATTCTTGTTAGTAGAATTCTGAACTCTGGAAAGTTCTTTTGGATTTTCCCTCTTCCTGAACAGTGATCCTTGCAGGCTCCTCTCCTGGCCCCTGTCTTGAGCCACTACTTCCTGGGAATATTTCCCAAGGAACCACTAATTCACTTGCTTCACAACTGAGAATGCATGAGTTATCTATTTCAGAATAAATAGGCTCTTAATGTCTTAATCCAGGCCCTTGGGTAGGGAGTCTCGGAAACGCCTTCGATGTCAGGAGCACCCAGACCCCGTCCCCAGGCTGGTCACCACTTACCAGCAGCAGAAAGTTGTCCAGCCAGGTGTAGACCTCGAAGGGTTCAATGGTTCCCAGCCAGGGGTCCTGGAACTTGGCATGCACTGCTGTGAACCCGATGTCAGTCACCGCAGGGTGAGAGAGGGCGAAGGGGACGCTGATCCACTGGACAGGAGAACACGGGAGCCTTAGTCTGACTTCTAAACGCCGGGGAGATGGGGACTGACGCCGCGTGAGCCGCGTCCACTGTGGCACAGCCAGCGTTCCTCTCATTCAGATAGAGGAGGACCCGAGGTCACGCTGTCTGTGACACCACGACACCCTGACTTAGCAAAACTGAAACAACGCACACTGCCAGCCCAGGGAAAGATCCAAAGCATAAATTCAAAATACAGTTTCTACTGGATGTGTTTCATTTTTGCATCCTTATAAAGTGGAAAAACCCTGAGTTGAATCTCCGGAAGTGGAGGGCCACCTGTGTGCTCTGTGCATGTGTGCGCCCCGTCTCCTGGGGACAAGGTTGGTGGCACAGGGGAAGCTTAAGGAAAGGGAGAGAGGAAGACAACCGTGTGGAGAGACCAGAGTTGCAAGCTTAAGTATCTGCATCTGTTTTGCAAGCAACTGGGAGCTAGAGGATTTCCTCCGGGTGTTAGAAAGGTTTCAGTGAGATTTCCTCTGGATTTAGGTATTGTGGCTGGAACAGTGCGAAGCCGCCCTGGGTCATCCCAGGGCCACCTGCACAGAGTGTGAAGTGTTGCAGTGCCATTGGGACGGGGATGTGCAAGGACAGTGAGGAGGATGAAGACAGCCAGTAGCCCTCAGGCCTCGGGTGAAGGAGGCCAGAGAGGCAGGGACAGGGGACCTCACACAGGCTTGTGGCCCCACTGGTGGTGATAAAAACCACCCACTGTCTGAGGGTTTGAGAAGAGCTGGTGTAAGGAGTAAGTTAATCAACATGTCTGCATGTATAGTAACTAAAGCTTAGAAGATAAACGTTTACAATTCAATAATGTCTTAACTAAGTGACCCATAGAACTTCATTCCTCAACAAGGCAGATTTCATAGGAGAAAGATACTCCGGGGTTCACACTCGCGAGTGTGCACCCCTCCACCTCGCCCTCGCACACTTGATTTATGCGCCTGTGTGTCTTCAGCTCTGGTCTTGTGCAAAGCAAGGAAGCGTCACATACATCATCCACTAATGGATGCGGCCCCTGGGGCGCATGTCTTGGAATAACAAGCACATCCCTTACCGAGCTGTGCTGCCGAGCTAACCCCACCCCGACCTTCTGGAGAGAGATTTATTTCTGTGCTCTCTGCTTTATCTTTGGAAGTTTATGATGACGTTACTTAAATATCAGAATTTCTGCACTGTCCACTTGAGTTTTGACAATTTCAAAATAAATGATAGTCTTTGAGCAGATTAATATGAGTAAATAACAGTTCATAAAATGCAAACAAAATATCTGAAAGAGAAGAAATGTAGTATTTGGTAGCACAAGTTAATTTATATTTAAACTATAAATCTAATAGTAGTCCTTTTAAATTTTTCCCCAGGATATCACTGTCGATGTTAGAAAGTTAAAAAAAGGATCTGCAATCATTCTTCATTTTTTTCATCTCTAAGTGTCTAACCCGAAAGCTAAAGTAGATGGACAGCCTTTCTTTACAAAAAGTAAAGAAAACCAAGGAAAATCAAGGGACTTGAACCATCTTTGGGGACATGAGTCAGGATGCCCTTGCTCTGCCTGTGGCTTCTGCACAAGGGCATTGCACCCCCCAGGAAATGTAGCTGAGGTGATCATGAGATGGATGAGATCATGAGCATAAACCCACATGCTGGATGACCCAGGACTCAAAAAGGACAAGGGTGGACAAGATCATGAATGTGAGCCCAGGATGGCCACAATGTTGGACAAGATCATGCATGTGGACTGGTATTATGGCTTATGTCTAGATACCCCCCACCAAGTCTCAGGCACTTTTAGTTGGGCTTTTTTTAGAGGCAGTTGAATCTAGAGTTTGTGACTGATTCATGGTTCAATGCTAAGATTAAGGGTGCTGGGATTAAAGGTGGGTGATTGCTGGATCAGGCCACTGATTGGAATGGCACTGCCCTGATCCCAGCAGTCTGGATAAGATAAAAGGGGCAGAATGAGACATGTTTCCCCCTTTTGCTTTTGTTGCTATTGCTGCCTTCCACTGCCATGAGCTGTTTCTCCTCTGCCATGTGCCACCCTGCCTTGGAGCCGGCTGAGTATGGACTGAAACCTCCACAAGCTGTGAGATAAATAAACCTTTCTCTTTTTTCTTTGAGTGTTGGATATTTTGTCTCAGCAATGAGGGAAAAGTAACTAGGACAACTGGGGGGATGGCCACATGTTGGGCAAGATCATGATGAATGTGGACCTGTGATGGCCACATGTTAGAGGAGGTTGGAATGTGGACCCAGTATGGCCACCTGTTGGATGAGATCATGGATGTGGACCCAGGATGGCCATGTGCTGGAGGAGATCTGAATGTGGACCCAGTCCCATGTGGAGGAGGTCAGGACTGAGGACCTGATGGCCCATAGCAGAGCGGGCACACTCTATTTTACATTTCTTGTGATGTGTCTGAGGTGTTTGGTACTATTATTCACAGAATTATAATCTCCATGTTTTACAGTAGGAGTTTGCAAAGAATAAACATTGACTAGAATGTGCTTAAGACATGCAGGAGAATTTTAACACTAGTCATACTCATGTTTCATATTCTACAGTACTCTACTAAATCCACCACACGTATGACCTAACTTAGCCCAGGGCTTGAAAGCAAAGTGACAGATAATAAATACTTATATTTTCTGACATGGTAAACCCTTTGTTTTTGGATCTCAGAGATAGAAGATTAATACTTGGAATCTACAGCTTTTCTAGTGGGATAATTTCTGAGTCCAGTGAATAGTCTCCTAGATAATATGTGAGCACAGAGGAGGATAAGAGACATGTACAAGTCACCACTAAAATCTAAGTTTTGCTGACATGAAGAAAGTTGTTATAGTCAGTTCTCAAAGAAGATCATGTAAGTTTTCATCAAAATCAGGCATGAGGGAAAGGAAGACCTAGATGCTTCCAACAATTCAACTTGGGGGACACCTTTCTGTCAAAACTTAGGAGAGTGATTAGAGTTTTTGCTTAATTAAATCACTGAGGAATGATTTAAACTTCAAAAGACTATGCAACTTACTATGTATCACTCCTGATGGAAAGTAAAATTTCTACCAACTGTTGTTGTCACTATAAAACACCCTTATACCCATAACCCACAATATCACATTATCACATAATATCCATAATGTCACATTATCCTTTTCTTAAACAGAAACAGGAAGACAGAAAACCTGCTGCGGCTCCCCTTACCAGTCCTAGGAAAATGCAGAAGAGTTGGACGACATCCGTGTAGGCCACTGAGTAGAGGCCACCCACCAGTGTGTACAGGGTGGCGATGAGAGCAGACACGATGACAGACACGTGCATGTCCACGTCGATGATCACACTGATGGTGGCACCTGAAGGCCAGAGAGGTGGGGGTCACAGCAAAGTGGAGGTGAGCGTCCTGTGCCACAAGAAAGGCACTTGGGACAACAACTGACATGGGTTTGTGTGCTGAGAACTTCATCTAGTCCATGATGTCAGATCCAGAGAGATATTTACTCTTGCTTTCTGAGGTTAGTGTTTCCCTAACTTGTTTATATGACACCCTGAAATCAGTTACACGAATAAAGAATACCTGACACACTGATTCTGAGAACTTACAACACGTTCCTCAGGTATCTGAGGCTCCGACATAATTAAATTCATGCAAAATGTTTACTCACATCCATGGGAAAAAGCAGCCTTTCCGAGACTCACGAGCAGCCACTCCCACATTGTACAATGAATATTCATTTGTTGTTTTGCAACTAAGTAAGCCTCTGACTTGTGAATGAGTTCTGTCCTGGGAGAACTGTTCACAAGTTGGATTCATTCACCAGCCAGCAAAGTGAGTCTCACACAAGACGCCTGTGAAAGCTCACAACTCGAGTCTTTGTAATTTGAGGACTTACTGTACTCTGCCCTAGACCAGCCTGTGGTTGGGGACAGATGCCATAAGCACCAAAGAGGGAGACAGGTTTGTGAGGGGAAATCATAAAATTGGCAGATTCTATCAGCTTCTCTCAAGTCAAGAAAAATCACTTTGACTTCATTTGTTTGGTAGAAATGCCAGTCCTCCTGCCAGGATGCCAGTATGCTTGAAGAACCCACTTTGAATATCACCTTACATAGTAATTTTCATCATCAAATTGTTAGGCTGGCCTTGGAAGTTACACGTGTTTAACTTACTTTGTGACTCTGGGTGCTGTGCTTGATGGTGCCTATTTTTTCACAGAAAACTTCATGGCATGGGCAGTTTGGGCCACTGCAATGCTTGGGCTGCTGCCTCGCGACTCACTTGTGGCTTCGTGAGCCCTTTCCACCGTGCTCAGGGATGTGGCTGTAGTTCAGGCTACTGAGCATCACTGTTAGGCTCACTGCCTGCTCACCTGCCAGCTAATGGTGTGCACAGCCCTCAGGTACGAGAGCCCGTTATCCCAGAGCAATCCAAGAGAGCTCAATCTACGATCGCAATGCAAGATGCTCCTGTGCCTTGTCTACGGGAATAAAGTAAAATTATCCTCTTGAATAAAGGTCAATTAAAAAGAAAAAAAAAGTAAGTTTCGGGATAAAGACAAAGGAAAGAGGTCACTTATAATTCCATGACTTCAGATCGTTACTGTGGTATAGATATTTTACAGCTTATTTTTATCCTGAAATCCTTAGATTGGAAATTTAGATGGAGCTCTTCACTGTTCTTGTTTGGGGGTAGTTCTCCTCTTTATTAACTGTGCCAGCTACAGTCCCATCAGTTATGAGAATTCAGTGATGCCAGAAAGAGGTCTGGCCTGCAGTGTTGCTGTCGGCAGAGACCCTGGAGAAGCCACTGCCCTCTCTGTCACCCTTGAGAGCAGGTTGAATTTTTCTCTAAAGTATTTTCTGAATAGTTACATTAACTGTAGTAAGTAAAGCAAAACTAAACCTCTAGGTCACCACTGGGATGTAGCTCAGTGCAAAGACCCTGGGTTTAATCCCCAGTATTGCAAAACAAATGGCTGCATCACAACGTCTCAGGAATCCATGAGCCAAGGGGAGGGTGAGAGGACCGGACACACGAGGGCAGAGATGTAGAAGCCACGAGAAGGGCTCCTGGGCTGCTGCCCAGGTGCGTCTCTGCACCGAGGGAGAGCCGGCCCTGCCCAGGGGCCTCAGATGGTGGCCCAGGGCCATGGACCAGGTAGAGGAGAAGTCCTGCCAGAACCAACTCTGAGCAAGGCCATTTGAAAGAAAATAGAGAAGAACAGGCAAAGAAATGATCATGCGGTTGAAATCTGTGGAAACAGCTGTCCTCACAGTACTTACATAAAGCTGGTCATACCTGAAACCTATGGTATAAGAATTTTGTATCCTGCAGTTATTACTTTCAAGAATTTCTGTTTCAATCATCAAAAAGGTGCTCCCATGTCTCAGAACCATGCACACTGCAGTGAGGTGGTAACGGATCTGATACACACCCGTTCTTAAGTAACCCACGTTATTTCCTGCAGACACTGACTTTGAATTATGTCCAGCTATTATTTTTTAAGAAAATAGAGATGATAATTAAAAACACAATGGTTTACCAGAGCCTAGATCTCAAATGAGCAATAAGTTTTAGATACATGTGCATACCTGTGAGTATGGAAAGGGAGAGGGAGGGAGGGAGACAGAGGGAGAGAGAGGGAGAGGGGGCGGGAGAGAGCCGGAGCTAGATTTTCCCACCTTTCCATGTGTATTGTGAACACATGCACAGATGCATATATACAAATTAACTAACTGAAGCAAAGTGTTAGCTACTATGGTCCATGTTTACCAAACATTTTAGAAACATTGCCTCATTAATTCTGTTCTTTCCTGGCTCTGTTACATAAAGTGATCTTTACTAAGTCGGAGTGAACAGTTTGTATTCTATTAGATATTTAGCCCACTCCTTTCCTGATACCTCAGCAGGAAGTTTGTTCTTAAAACCCAAATTTTCTGGTGCTGAAACCAATGGGAAGTAACACCTACTGTTTCCCAGCTCAGGAGGGCGGGGTGGGGAGGGACATTTGCAGTTTCATCTTGGTACCCGGGGACACAGTGCTGTTATCTAGCACCAGAGGAGGACAGCATTCTGCTTCACAGCCACCGAATTATCTTCTTTTCCACCCAAATCACTTTGTTTTTACATCTGAGACCAGGAAAATGATGTTAGGTTATGTGGGAGACTGGGAGAAAAAGACAGTGTGCCCACAGCACTATCTAATGTTCAAAGGCCACCTGAGATGACAACTGAATCTGGAAGACAAGTTTGCAGCCTGGGTTATACAGCCCGGAAGGGAGCTCCTCCTAGCTTGCTTCTGTTCTGGCCACCTCAAGGCTGCTGCATTTCCGTTTGCAAAATGAGATGGAAAATAACCTGAAGGTGAGTGGCCAGAGTCAGGGAGGACCTCAGCCCTCAGTGGGATGGTACCAACCCACCCGTGATGGGCCCAGACAGCTCCTCGGATGCTGCTTTTCTAAATGCTGGGAGCTGAGAAGCCAGGGCTGGGGTCTCCTTGGCATTATTGGTCTCGGTTCTCAATTACACTCTAGAGAGTCTGCACTCAGGTTCCAGAGCCCTTGATGTGCGCAGGACCCAGTGGTGAGATGGGAACACACTAAGGGGGAAGAAAGCAACGTTCTTTTTTGAAAAACGTAGAGCTAAGAAAGATTCATTCATTCATTCATTCATTCATTCATTCATTCACTTCCTGTGTAGGATTATAACTGCAAGCAAAGCAAGTCCTGCCTTCATGACATTTGCCATCCGTGGCGTAGGACTGAAAATACTGGACGTGAAGTGGATAAACAAGGCCATGTACAAAGTGAAAGGACACATCCAGTGAAAACAGAGTGGCAGGTGGCTGGGCGTCCGCAGCAGACACTCCTGGCCAGTTCCTGGGGATCCTCCCGGGAGGCCCCAGGACAAGTGACAGGCAGATGCAAGGGAGGGAGGAGGGGAGAGGTGTCAGTGGGGCCCTGGGAGGCAGGAGAGGGCTACAGCTCCTGGAGGAGGAAGACAGTGGTGGGTGTCCTGAGCAGGGGGAACCAAGGCCCGGCTCACTGCGGACCTGTTAGAGAGCTTGCCTTTCTGCAGGAAGGGACAGAAGAGAGCAGACTTAGGAGGAAAAGCGTGGCCAGCAGGTGGAACCACAAAGCAGGCAGAAGGGCGCAATGGTGACTGCACTAACCAAGGGAGGCCTGGCCTGGACAGGCGGCGGGAAAGGAGGCAGGAGAAGGACTGGTCAGGGTGGAGGAGCCAGGGGCGGGCGTGAGCAGCTGGCGTGGCTGGGACGCGCTGAGCATCTGCAGGGTGCGGTCTGCTTCCGCCTCCCCTCAGCCAGGCAGGCAGCCTTTGTGTCCCCAGGCAGCCGCAGTGGCTACAGGTGGCCGCCACCTCCCTGCCTCCCTCAGGTTCTGCTGGAGGACAGGAGACACTCAGGCCTGGAAGCCTGAAGAGTGGCTGAGACACCTGTGCCCCTGGGGAGGTCCACACTACAGCACTCAGCATCTGCACTACGAGCCACGGCCCTGGGCTTCACAGACCTCAGCATGTGGCAACAGCTGAGGGACTGGTGACATCCGACTGTCCTCGTTTACTGTGGACTCACACTCGGTTTCCTGTTTGGTTTTAATTAGACAAGTCTCACGCAAAAGGTAACATCTTTAGAAATATTAATGCTTCTAAAGTGCCTGGTATGCTGTGCATTGAGCTGAGAGCATCCTGCATGCGTTTGAAAATGTCAGTTAACAAGGCAGGCATTAGAAGGAAACACGGGGCAAGGTGAGCAGTTCTTGGGTCAGGGAAGCGCCCTTTCTGCGGGACAAGTGCAGGTATAACTCAGCGACTTAAATTTATCCAGCACCAAGTGTTCTCCCTAACACCCGGCTCGGGACATTAGTTTTGAAAAATGAACTTCACTCTTTAGCTTTGCTTAATTAACAATGCTTTGTTTGAAGTCCTGACTTGAATAGGCAACTCTTGATCATCATAACTGTAACTACCACCGATGTGATTCAAGCAAAAAGCAAATACACTTCAGCCTCTGCAGCTGCACTGCAGGGAATGTAGAAGTGATGGTAAGATTTCACCAGTATAAATACAGCTAAGGACATGGCTGTAAAACTAGGAAGTAAGTTTATGTGTCTGCTGGTCAGGGAACTGGAGGTATAGATGGGGCGATGCATCGTTACCTAAGGCGGAGAAAATCGCTGCAGCCCAGAACATCTCTCCCATGAGTGCGGGGATGAAGAGGAGGCCGCCCATGCGCTTCCCATAGGTCTGCTGAAATGGGTCTAGCATGGTCACGTAGCCCTTGGAGCGCATTGGTTTGGCAAAGAACAGACCACCTAGAAGAAATTAAACCATGATTCTGTGAAGATTAAAAATGCGTTGTGTAATAGTTTCTGCCAACCTTTTACTATGTTATTTCTCCTGGGAAATGAATTCTTAAGAACATCTATCTGGGGCTAGAGATACAGCTCAATGGCACAGCACCTGCCTGGCAAGCGCAAGGTCATGAGTTCAATTCCTGGTACTAGAAAAAGAAAAAGAAAATCTAACCGTATGGAGGAGCCAATCTGTAGTGCAATGTGGCTACAGCACTAAGAAAAGCTGTAGCAACCTATATACCTAATATTGCATTTGTCAAGTGGGTAACTGTATGGCATAATCACGGGGGCGAATCTACGGCACATGGACTGTTCATGTCGCTGAAAGCTCTAAAAGGTTTGCCATCCATGGTGTAAGTGAAGCATGTGGATGGAAAGCAGTGGAGCTGGTTGGTGCTCACCCAGAGGCCTTGAGCACAGCACTGAGATGATCTGAATAAGTATCAGATACAACAAAGGTATTTTGAGTGAAAAGGGAAGAATTCTGTGTTAAATTGTTATATAACATTTTTGACCATTAGTTAGTCTGCCTTCCAAAAAGAAAGTCAGGTACAATCAAGTTGATTCATTTCAATAATATACCCGCCCTCATTTTGAAAGAAATAGAACATGATTATGCTAAGAAGTGCACTGTTCTTATGGTCACGGGATCAAAGGGTTGTTTTACATATTCCATAACAGGAGATCAAACCATCTGAGCACCAGCGCTCTGCTACATGCCAGTTTCTGGTAGCAGCCTCTTGTAAGTTTGGGTGACATTTTCCCACAGCAGGGACTGACATGGTTTAGCTCGTTACTTCACTTCGTATTCATGCTCCCGCCCGTCCTGCTGCAGGGAGTGAGACACAGATTAAACCTCCACTTACCTACAACCAGACTAAGAGCATATCCTATGGGCGCCTGGGCCCACGCGAGGCCATGGTCCGGCACGTAAACTGCCTCCGCGGTCCCGTTGATGTACCCGCCTCCGACCCAGGTGGCTGCAATAGAGGGGAGGGGAGCCGCTGTCTCGCAGGTCACCCCGGGATCCCGCAGCCTGGCACAGCGACCACTGGCCTCGTGCCACCAGGAGCATGCGCGGTGTGGCTGTCCAGGCTTTGGGTGCTCATGAGAGCTCCAGGAGGAGACGGGAGCAGCTGAACAAAGGAGGCGAAAGGGCTGGAGAGGGTGAGTGTGGGCAAGAGAGTTTTGAGCCCAGGATGACCGACATACTGAAGTTAAAGGATGCTTTGTATTGATCACGAACTGAAAACTCTGAATGTATTGAATTACATTAGTTACATTATTGACCTCAATTTAATTACTTCTTATGCTTTTTTAAGGGGCATTTGTAGAAAATGTAAGGTAAGCTGGGGGCTCACCTTCTGTGTCTGCGAGACCGTGCTGCCCGGTGCCGTCCGAAAGCATTTAGCCATCAGCACTTGTGGTGAGGTTACCAGAGACCACACCCTCTGAGCCCACGCAGGGCGGACTCTCCAACCCTCTCTCCAGCCCGCAGGAGGCAGGGCCAGGTGTCCGCACTGCAAGGCCTTCCATTTGAAGTGCACAGATAATTTACACCGACCACGACTGCTGTCCTCCAGGAGTGGTGTGTGTATGTGCATGTGTGAGTGTGTGTGTGTGTGAGGTTTTCACGAGCATTTTCTCAAATACTCTGGCAACATGGGCTGTGGCAAGTCTGGCTGTGTCCGCCGTGGGCTGCGCTCAGAATATGAAAGGAGGTGAGACAGGGCCCCACTCCCACGCATCCACGTGGATCACAGTGACCTCACTCCTTTCCCTCTGCACTGCAGACGCTCAGGGCTGTGGCCAGCACCTGGAGAACACGGTGCTGAGGGCACAGCACTCACAGCCCTTTAATCTGGGTGTTTTCATGTGGTGTTTGGTGTTTCACAGGAAATACTAAGAAATACACTCTTTCAGATATACAAAACCTAGCATAAATGTGTTTAGCTATATAAAATGGAGCGTAATAGCTAAGGAGGAATGTCAAGAAGCCAAAGAACGCAAGTGCGGCCGCTGTTTTCTCTTAGAAAGCAACCTCACACTTGACACTTACTGAAAAACAGGAAAATGGAACTGCACCACGCGTATCCGCAGCCTGCATATATACACAGGAAATGTTATTCTTTAAGAATATAGTTAAATGTTAAAAATGACATCTATGTAGGGATTAAGTAAAGGGCTGATGGTCAGAGGCTGGTAAGAAGCTTAGCAGAGGTAAGACTAGGTTCTGGGCTGTGTGATCCCACTGAGAATACAACTTCACTCTACAGAATTCTCTAAAATCTCACAGAGCATAAAGAAAAGACATAACATGTATAGCACTCCCTCCAAGGTGATCCTTTCTGCGATGCTCAAGCCAGAATTTATCTGGCTTTGAATCCAACAGGAAGCCAAGAAAAGGCTGTGCTGTGAGGTTAACATTGCTTTTTAAATGTTTAACTTGAGAAGTTTTGTGCATGGTGATTTTAAGTCATTTAAATGGGGGTTTACACGCTCACCCCTGAAGTGGACAAATACACAGGCAGCCGCCACTCCCATCCTCACTGGGGTTTCACTCTGGGTGTTAACACATAACGGATGCCGTTGTTTCCCTCACTATAAGCCCTGCTGGGGCTCTAGGCCCCCTCTCACACTGGGTGTCTGAGCGCTGCGGATGAGCCTGGCAGGTGCAGGCAGGGCTGGGCCCGCCCCCGCTGGGCGGGGCTGCCGCCTGCACAGAGCGGCGGTGGGATGACGGCTGACAGCAGCGCTTGGCAGTGGTCATCCTTCACTGCACACTCTCCTGTCCCTCATCCAGAAGGAACCCTGGTACCTGAAGGGTTACAGCATCAGAACGTCGGGCAGGGCCGGCTCCGCACTGTGACTGAACAAAGTGCCACGGCTCCCCTCTCTCGGTCCTTTCTACTCCACATCGGCCCTTCCTGTTTGTGATTTGCATCAAATCACGGGTGAGAACACAAGCTCTTTCACACTGTTCATGTTAAAGGAATAAACATTGTCGACCTCTCTTCTGCATGAAATACATACCAGCAAATTAATCTAATAAAGTTTAAATAGTGTGATTCAGATTTTAAATGGATGATGGTTTTGACTGCGGTTCTTATGAATTTTGAAAAAGACAAAAGCTTTTGCAAGTGAGCTAGACCATGACACTTTATAGGAAATGGCATTCAAATATTTTCTATATAGTTTAATAGTGTATTAGGCTAAAAAAATTCCCTCTATATAATAAAAGAACAGATTCCAAAACATTATCATTATGATCATATTGAGTAGAATATTAAGCTAGAGCAATAGAGCATTATAATAATTTGCAAAGAATAAAATACTTTGCTTGTTCCTGCAGATGTTACAAGCAAAGAACCCCATAAACAAACCCGCAGAGGACTGCCTGTCCAGCACCAGGTCCAGGCTGTCCGGCCGGGATACCTGAGTCCACCCGGCTCTGGGCCTTTTTAACCTCATGGCCCTGGCTCTTCACCTAATCCCACAGCCTTTTCACGGTGCTCTTATAAAGACCACGCCAGTCTCCATGCTGTTGGTGAGGCATTCAACAAACTGCCTGCCTGAAAGGTTAGCTCCACAGTCCACATTAACTTTAGGTGGCAGACGGTCCTACTTAAGACTTCCAGAATGTGGACGCTGTCTTTCTCGACAGCTTTGGTGAAGTTTTTGAAGCACAGGGTAAATCACTTGTAAATGGAATCTCGGACCTGAAATGCAGCACCATTTGGATGTGGTTTCCAATGGGGTATTTCTCCAACGTTCCTGCTAATGTGGACTGCATTGCTAAGGTCTAGATACCTACGAGGACCCGGATGAAATGTGTCATTTGTAAGAGGAACACACAACGTGAAAGATGCTGTTGTTCAGAAGTATTTCCAGTGAGCAAGACAGTATAAAAACCACCCCCTACCCTCACAGCCCTGACAGCCAGGAAGAAAGCAGCCTGCCCCTCCCAGCAGCGAGGGGTGGCCAGGGCGGGGGCCTCGGCCCTACACGCCCTGCCTTTCTCCTGCGGGCAAGGTTCTTGCCAACCCCACCTAGCGCTGTGGAGGGGCTTCCGGTAAGGAAATCGGTTATCAAGTGGGAAAAACAGGTTTGGAACCGGGCGCGGACCCATCTGGAACTGTGCTGTGCCCACATGTACTGACGCAGGGTAAAGCCATCGCCGGTGTGTCCACTGACATCGGGCGTTAGGGAGCTTGGGGACAACTTCCCGCACCTACTTAGGGGCCCACGGCGAAGCCTCCCCACTACCCAGCGGGGGCACTGCGTGCAGGGCCAGGCCCCTCTGCCCCCTCCACCCCGTCTCTCTGCTCCCACCTGGGGCACTCCCACCCTTGCCTCCCCGAGGTCCGGTCGGGTGATTATCAGATCATTTGGTTCAAGTAACGCTCCCTTTCCACATCTAAATGTGAAATGATTGAACGGAACCTGAAGGATGCCCAGGGCCAAAGCGCCAGGCCTGCCAGGCTCGGAGAAGCGCGCAGCAGACCCACGGGGCGGGGACGCACCTGTCATGGTGAAGCCGCCCACCAGCAGCCCGATGTCGCGGCCGCCCACGATGATGGCCTCGCTGCGCTCCTCCGCGCTGCCGCTGTTCTTGGTTCTCCAGGCGGCCCAAATGCCCACCAGCAGGATGAGCAGGTAGAACACCACGATGGCGACCAGCCCCTCCACGTGGAAAGCCATGGCGGCCGCTGCTGCGCGCAGACGGAGGCGGAGGGGTGCGGGCGCCGGCCAGCGGCTCCGGGCGGGCA